AGCTTAGTCTTGAGTAATCATACAATAAAACACCCTGAAACTTTTAATTGTTTCTCTCTTGAAATATCATAAGCCGTTCATTAAAGGCAGAAAACCTGAGAGAGAAGTTTCTGATAAAAGGAGATCGTCTCTTTTTGTCTATGAAGATGAAGAGCAGACCACTGAGCCTCAAATTCAAGTTATAAGATCTAGCAGGTAGATAAAAAATTAATTTATAATTTTATAAAATCCAAATATTATTAAAAATATATAATGTACAATTTACATGCGCTATCTATTTTCAGTCAACTTCTCTTTGGACTGGTGATGAACAAAACCACCTTTCTCATGCGAACCTAATGCTATCTGAGGTAAATTTCATATTTTCATTAAGAGACGCCTAAGTGTGTCAAGTAACATTTTTGGTTTTAACATTTATAACAACATCTCCTTCCTGGAGTCTGGAGACTTATCCCAGTATGTTTGATATTATAAATGAGTGTTCAGACATTTCATAAAAAGACATTGTATAGAGGGGAATTTCATAGAGGGGAATTTCAAACAGGGGTATGAAATTAGGGAATTTCATAGAGATGAATTTCATAGAGGGGAATTTCATAGAGGGGCATTTAATAGACTTTATAAGCAGGACATTTCATAGAAATAACATTTCATAGACAATACATTTCATAGACAATACATTTCAAAGACAAAACATTTCAAAGACAAAACATTTCATTGACTAGATATTTTATAATTAGGACATTTAATGGACAAAGAAGATTTTTTCTTAGATTTTGGAAAGTTTTTTCCTTTTTCCGAATTTCTTTTTCTAGATATTATGCAATTTTATTTTAATGACAGCATTAGAAACCCAATTCCTGTTTCTGAAATGTCAAATCTATGATATTTAAATCTATGAAATGAAAAAAATGACAAATAATTTAGGTTATAGCGGCCCATGTCTCATTTATTGTGTCCACAAACCTGGATTACCCTAAGGTAAATGGATCTATTTGAAAATCTTATAGAACTAGGCTTTTATGGCGCTTTGCGCCCATCTTCTATTTCAATTGTGAACATTTTCTCTTTGTATACATTGTAGAACAAAAGCTAAGGGGATTTTATAGAAATTTTTCGTGGATTTTCAAAATTTAATGAAAAACTAATTTGTTAGAGGCAAATTTTTGAAAATTTGATCATTCATAAACCTTCTCTGGGGTCATGTGAGGTCACACGCAAAATTTGGGCCCGATCGGTTCAGCCGTTTTGACTTTTATTGGATACAAACAGGCAGACACCCAGACAGACAGACAGACAAACAGACAAGCAAAGTAGATATACAAATTCAAGATCCTTAAATATAGTTCAAACATAATGTTTCTATACTTGTACAGGGAGGAGGCGAACTAGGATTTCTTCTTCAGCACCATGTCTGTTGTATAATGGATGCTGGCTCTAGAACCAAAGAAGAATCCAGATTTGAAAAACTGTTGGAGAAAATGGACTCAACCGTTCCAAAGATTAAAAGATTAAAAAGGTGAATAGGTTTTAGTTGTTATATATTTTTTATTTTCTAATGGGGGGGGGGGGGTTTAACTAGGATAACTTCATTCTGAAAACTGAAAAGTATAAGACAGTATAGAATTTATAAAGAAAGGTTTAGCAAAGCTTTTATGTTAGTCCTGAAATAGAGTTAAAGTTCTAATTTGCGTTTTTTCGTTTATATTTGTTTTTGATTTAGGTCTGAACAATAGAGACAACGTCCTCACTCCTCAGTCCACTGTGATTTGAAGGTCTCCCGCTCTCAAGCACAATTCGATAAGAGTTTTGCCAATTACTCCAAAGCTAACAATCACTGTTTGTTAGCTGGCGATAAAATCTAAGCCCAAGGCGTTGCGACACTTTAAGTCGACCCTGTCAATTCAATAACATGCAGAGTAACAGGCATCTCAATGATTTAACCATCAAATCCTTCAATTAAAAAGTGAATATCTAGAGCTGAAGCTAAGAGTTTTCCTATACAAAAGTTCCTTTCAAAGTTTTGTTTAAATTATAAGTAGTTATCAAATCAAATGCTCATTTAAATATTTGGCACCCAAATTGAAAATTGAAAAACCAAAATAACGTTAGTTCTGTTTTATTTTTAAGCAAACAAGGGTTATTTTCCTAGAGAACAATTTTTACACCCCCCGCCTTTCCCCCCTCCTATTAATTACGCCATATGTAACACATATGGCCAAAGTTTAGTATCTGGAAAACTGATAGGAGGGGGGGGGGACAGTAGGGGGAAGAACCAAAAAACGTTCTTTAGGACAGACCCATACAATGCTCTAAATAAAAACAAGTTTATCTTGTTTAATGTTTATGTACTCTATTTATGTATCCATAAAACTCATTGTAATGCATTTTTTTACCTTAAAATAAAACAAAAAAGTTAGAAGACAATATTTTCCAGAAACAAATCGTTATAAAGAAATTGAGACTTTACGACAAACTCAAATAGAATGCAAACATTAAAAAATCGGAGTTTGTGGCAAAGACTCAATTCCTTAGTGAACATTATTTACCATTTTCAATACATGCTCTGTATAGAGCGTATACCATGTAGAGCTAAGAAGAGTACATTTTGTAAAGAGCAGACTTGATTTTAAAAACAGAAAAGCTTTCTTAAGTATATTCTTCTAAATGTGGAAAAGATAAATTATTATGCATAGTATAGAAAACTAAATGTTGGATAGAGCAGATACAGAATCGAGTAGAGCGGAATAGATTCAAGGGAAACAAAAATATATACAGAATAGAGATAGCAAATTGCCGAGTAGCAAAAACCGGATGTTGAGTAGAGTAGATGAAATGCTGAGTAGAGCAGAATATATGAACGGAGAAGAAAACCCGATGTTGAGTAGAGAAGATGTAGTGCTGAGTAGAGAAGAATATATGAACGGAGAAGAAAAACCGGATGTTGAGTAGAGAAGATGTAGTGCTGAGTAGAGAAGAATATATGAACGGAGAAGAAAAACCGGATGTTGAGTAGAGTAGATGTAGTGGTGAGTAGAGCAGAATATATGAACGAAAAAGAAAATGTATGCAAAGGAAAGAGGAGAAGATTTAGGCATAAACATTTTTATGCAGTGTAGAGATGGAATTATGAATAGTATTGCAGAGAAGATTCAGAATAGAAAATAAGTAGTCTAGAGTAGTGCAGAGTAGATGCACGCATAAAGAAAATTAACGCAGCTTAGAGCTGAGTAGATGCAACAATAAACATATTTATGTAGAGTAGAACCTAGGTTATTCTAGGTAGAGTCTGTCCTTGCACAACATACTTTACGGAGAGTAAAGATGGCTTTATTTTTAAAAGAGCCGGCTACCATAAATCATATGCTATACAAAATAGAGCGGGTCTCCATGAGATCGTCCTCGGTAGTGCCAGCGTTATGCAGCGTAGACGTTTTTTTTACAGTGTATTTAGTGTAGAAAGCATTATTTCAAGCCTATTTGCAACAACAAATGTCAAATTTAGAGTCCTTTTAAGAATGTGATAAATTTTTCTTAACAACTTCACATAAAAGTTGCCCTTTCTTGCCTATTTTTTTTAACAATTCCTCTTCCTAAATATATATCAAGCTTTCTTCAGTCTTTTTAGGAAATAGGTTGCGCATGATCAAAAGATTTAGGTAACAGTGTAAGAATTACAATCACTTTATTTAACAGAAATATTTTACTTTACATAAGCATTAACAAAAAAATTAACAGCAGACTCCTTCATCAGAAAGTTCACAGCAGTAAGTCTCTGCTCTCTCGGTGAGAACTCCAGCAAGAACAGGCATGGCAGCAGGCATGAAAGCATCAATGTAGACACCACATCCCTCAGCAGCTCCGGTACCAACACAGAAGCCATCTCCCTTCAAGAAATCAATGATTTCAGCAATTTTGGCTTCAGACTCAATGACACCAGCAACAGCAGTGATACTACCAGAACATTCATCACAGGTTGGTGCTTTAACAATACTCTTCTTACCACATGCTCCAAGAAGGTCACACACACTGTTGGCCTCAAGGAAGACAGGGTACATGGCCAAAGCAATTCCCTCCCACCAAGTTCTTACTCCAGTCTCACATCCAGCAGGGTCATCAAGAAGAGGGCAGACGGAGGCAACAAGGATCTCAATTTGCTCCTCAATGCTTCCAGCACTCTGGAGGTAGCCTCCGAGCTTGCCTGCAAAGGACAGGCAGTCATCGCAGGTGAATTCAGCACTGGCGGAAGAGGCAAGGCAGGTCAGGGCAATAACAATAAGCATCTTCATGTTTAGACCTCTTCTGTTTCTTCTGTAGGAGGAGAATTGAATGTGTTTTCTACCTTGAATCTGACTTTTTATATCTGGTCTTATCTTTTATTCAATTGTAATTTATAAAAGTTTTGTAACTTAGGTAATTTGTTTGATCTGTTAGTAAAAAAGATAAGAATGGTGTAGGTCAAACATACATTATAAATAATTATGTTTCATAAAAATATTATTTTATGAATAAGCATATTCAAAGATTTATATAATTTTCCCAGTTTAACCCTTCTCACAATTAATGTTTTTGGGGTATAACTTAAAAATATTGGTCTGAGACTATTCAACTTTTTTGACTTTTTAAACTATCACAGTCCCTTTCCCTCCAGAAAAAAAAAAAATATTTAAAAATTTTTGAAAGGTAATAGGAGTACCGGCCCCCCCACAACCCTCTAGTTTTTGTCTTAGCACATTCTTGACACAATCACTTTGACATTTGTTTAGTTTTAAGAAGGAGTAGTTTAAAGGAATATTTGTATTTTATTAAACATTGGGTAGATTGCAGGTCAGTGAATAGACCAGCCACAGTGTTTAAAAACCTAAAATAGCATATATATTGTTATGTAAGCTAAACATCTAATAATTGCATTTTTTTTGGATCCTTGAAAACAAAATGTTAAAACATGTTTACTTCTTACTATTTGTCCTAAACAGTTTGTGCTTTGTTTAATTTTTCCAACCTTTATTGTTAGTTTTTTATTCCATGCCTTTCACCCTTCCCATTCAAAATAGAGGTCTATTTTTTTTTTAAAGCTGAACTTGAACAATTGTCTTTTTACATATATTATAACTAGGGTTTCCAATCGGAATTTCGTTCCATGCGGGAATATCCTTCCGCTTGTGCCATTGCATTGCACAAAATTGTGCTTTAAGTGCCAACAGTGAAGCAATTAAATTTTCGCTACTGCCCTTAAATATTTTTATATTCCAATAAAAATGCACAATCAAAACGTTTAAATTTTTGCCTAATTTTTGCATATATGGTTTAAAATTTTAAAGCTTAGTCTTGAGTAATGAGAAGGGTTTCCGATCCTGATAGCATTGCGCGCAACGGTGCACAAGGGTTGTTTTCGTTTGCGCATAAGGGTTGCCCACAACTTTAACATTTTTGCGCATTGTGAATATGAATCTTCCTCTAGTTGCGCCCATGGTGTCAGTTACATTTACACTATCCTATGTTCGAATTTTGTAGAGACCAAACTAACATTAGTGAATAAGTTGACTATTGAAAGTATTTTAGATAGATAGCAAATTGGAATGTATAGAAGATGTATTTATGTTTTTATAAGGAAGTGAAAATTTCTCCGTCCCTTTTTTCCCCATTCTGAGGCATATTCAGGGGGGCTATGGAGTTTAGCCCCCCTGTAAAATCTATGGTTCCCAATGGTTTATGGGCGCCAACGGGTGCTGAGTCCCCTAGAAAGAAAAGCAATTTTTCCACCCCCCCCCTTTTTTGGACAACTTCCTGAATATGCCACTGTCCCCCCTAGAATTTTCATAAAATAAAGACCCCTTTTTATTTGTTTTTTTTAAATTTGCATCATTTGACATTTCTAAACTACCAAAATCTTTCCAAGAAATACGAAATTGAGTTTGAAAAAAAAATACTTTAACCATTTCCAGATGGAGCTATAAAAAAGTGTAAAAAAACACGAGATTTTTCACCTGTTTCTGAATATTTGACCATAGAAAAAAAACACAATATTCTGAACAATTCTGTCAGATATCGCCAATCCCAAGTTAAATTATTTCCAAAATGGTATCATATTTCATAATCCCTAAAAATCCCAAATTACTAAAAATGGTGGAAAAAACGGTTAATTGGCTTGGTTATCAAGGAAAAAAATGTCCAATGCTAAAATTTTGTATTTGAACTAGATTTACCCCAGTGCAGTGTTTTCAAAAAAATGTGTAGCGAGTTTGGGATTTTTTCTGGTGCAACCTAAGGGGGGGTACAGGGTGTCCCACGAAACATGAAAATAGCAAGACGACTTGAAAGTCGTCTTTGGTATTTGAATTTATTTTTGACATTTAGTCTTCTATCTACTTTAACATGTATGATTCTTGAAACAATTATCACATAATTCTCCTAGCCCTGGCATTTCCAAAAAGTGGTCTGCGTTTTTTGTGCTTTCAATATTACCGGAGATATAAAGAGTTTGGTTCAGATTTTAATTTTGTTAAATAAGAGTAAAATTGTCGAAATCTGAACGAAATTCTTCATATCTCGGGCAATATTGAAAGCACAAAAAAGGCAGACCACATTTTGAAAATGGCAGGACAAGGGAAATTTTGTGATTATTATCTCTAAAAATTTACTTTTAAAATTAGGTTGACAAATAAACGCAGCAAATTATATCAAAAATCAAGACGACATTCAAGTCGTCCTGCATACTGTCATGTTTCGTGGGACACCCTGTACCTCACCAGATATCCGACATTCTCATTGATGGGAATTTTTAAAAAATGTAACTTTTTTAATGAAAATTGAACGAAAATTTTGCGAAAATGAGGTCAAGAACTTTTTTGAAAATAAATCAAAATTCGTGAAAGTTTCTAATGAATGTCGTTCGTCAAAATAATCAAAATAATAGCTTTTTAATTCGTTTTTAAAACGATTTACAAATTACAACCCTACTAGCATACCCTACCTTTATAAGACTAGCATATTCAGACAATCTAGCATTAGAGTATTCAAATATATTTAATTTAGCAAACATTCATATCTCTGTATTATTTAATACACATAAACATAAAAACATAAAAGTCGAGGTCGACACCTTCCCAAAATATGGAGATCAATGCATGCTTGGTCCTGAAAATTGACATCAAAATGACATTAAAAATGCCATCTATTGAACACTATAGAAGAATTGGGTTTAGAACAAGTGAATGCGGAACACTAAGTCCTCCTGTAGTGGCAGGAATCCTATACCATCCTTCATCCTGATTGTCACATTCCACCCATTAGGAAATCAAACTAATCAGAATTCAGGAGAGCTTAAGTACATCATACATTTGATCACCGAAAAAATGAAACATCTCAGAATGCTTAAACATTTATATTTTGAATAAGCATTAATGTGAGAGTTCACCCATACACAGTACCCATACTTTTGCAAGTTAGGTCGGGTTAAGATAGATAGATAAGGCGTTAACCCTATCCCTTCTGTGGTACTTGAAAACCAGGATATGCTGGGGGGGGGGGTCAATTTTACCCCCCCTCTAAATCCCATGTTTTATGTCCAAATATGACAAATGATACATCATTAGAAAGCTCTTGTGCTCTACTTTTTGAATCTGCAAAAAAAATTTGCAAATTTGCAAAAATTGAATTTTTATAGCAAAATCCAGTTATAAAGTAAAAATGTTTGCAAAAAAGAAATTGTCCAAAAAATGAAAAATTATACATTTTTGAAAAGCCCTTGACCATGCCATTTCAAATATGCAAAAATTTTTGCAAAATTTTAAATAACCTGATTTTTAATCAAGAAAAACTAAAAAAGTGCAAATTTCCTTTGACAGGTTGTTTGCAAAAAAATTGCAATTTTTTTTCGCAAAACTTGTGCAATCCGTTTCCTTATGTCATAGGCTTTCCAAAAAGCTAAATTTTATCAAAACCTGACAAGTGAAAGTGGGTCAAAACAAAGATTTAGTTTGTTACAGGCAAAAGCAGTCATTCAGGCAGTGTGCCTGAGGACTCAGGCAGTTAGTATTAAAGCCCGGTTTTAGGCCTAAAGGGAGGGCTTTGGGTATGTAAGAAAAGTCAGAAAATTTCAACAGCCTCAGACCAATGCTTTTTGAGTTATGTAAAAAAAACTACAGGGGGGGTCAAATTGCCCCCCCCCCCCAGCAGGAATAGGGTTAAAAGGGGGGATGGGGGGGGGGGTCTTGCAAGCGCTACTGTCTAAGAAATCAAGGAAATTTTGCGATTTTTCGGTGGAAAATCAAAATCATCTTTTAAAGTGTCAATGTTTTGTTTTTTATGTTGTTTATTCAGATAATTTTCTCTAAATATATTTATTCTTTGATGAGCTAAGTCTAGTTAAAGGAAAAAAGTTTTCAGAAACTAAAAAAGTTGGTCGATTAATTGATTGACTTGTTTTGCTTTCTATAAATATATTCTCAACTCAGTTATAAAAGAAAGATCGAAAGAAATAAAAAGAATTGTTCCGACGTTTGTTATTATAGAAGTCTGTTGGTTAGTATAATTATTATACCAATTATGTATATACTGTTTAAGACCAAGCAATCTATATATACTTTGCTTGTCTGGGTGTCTGTAGGTTTGCTTTCTTATAGGTTTGTTTTTATCCAATGTACGTCAAAAACGGCGGAACCGATTGGGCAAAAATTTTGTGTGGACCTTGCACATGACCCCAGGGAAGGTTTATGGATTACAAAAAATTGTCTCTAAAAATTTTTGATTCTCGTAAAATTTTGAAAATTCACAATTTTTTTTTTATCGAAGAGAAAATATTGAAAGATTGAGCAACATTAAAAGTTGAAATAAAAGATGGGGCCAAGACACCCATAATGCCCAGTAAACACTACATAATGCCCAGTAAACACTACACAATACATCCTAACTAGATCTTATAAAATTCATATTAACATTTTATCACTGGATGTTTCATTTAATTATTTTCAGCTAAAATAAACGAATAAGAAAAATTCAATACATTTGATAGGTATTTGTTGATCGCCCCTGATAGCACCTGATCGCCCCTTAACACATTTATTTTTTTTTGGGGGGGGGGATAATTTTTGTTTTTAGGGATTTTGGTTATTTATATGCAATAATCTAGACACGGCTGGGGGTGGGAGGAAAAAAAATGTTTAACCTTCCCCCCTTTTCGATTTATATATATTTTTATGTATATTTTTTTTGTATGGGAGAATGGGAAGTGAAAAATCAAGTTCTAAAACCAGTTTCCTTTTATAAAAACAACATTTAGTACCGGTATTGTCATTGTTATTGTTTCCCGTAAAACCAGATCATGTGGAACGGGCCCCACCCTGAGCTCCTGGAGGGGGGGGGGACGGGGGACCACCCCCCCCAAGTAATTTTTTGATATGAAATAAAACATCTAGGGATGAGAGACACAACGAAAATAGAATTGAATAAATGACCTGAAATACCCGTTTTCTCATCTTAACCCATTATTTATACTAATATGCCTGAAAAATGATAGAAAGAAAATGTGAGAACTGGAGTTACAGATAGAAAGTAGGAGAACTGGAGTAATCAGATAGAAAGTGTGAGAGCTGGAGTTTACAGATAGAAAGTAGGAGAACTGGAGTTTACAGATAGAACGTAGGAGACCTGGAGTTTACAGATAGAGAGTAGGAGAACTGGAGTTTACAGATAGAAAGTAGGAGAACTGGAGTTTACAGATAGAAAGTAGGAGAACTGGAGTTTACAGATAGAAAGTAGGAGAACTGGAGTTACAGATAGAAAGTAGGATAACTGGAGTTTACTGATAGAAAGTAGGAGAACTGGAGCTAACAGATAGAAAGCAGGATAGAACTAGATTTTACAGATAGAAAGTAGGAGAACTGGAGTTTACAGATAGAAAGTATGATATAACTGTAGTTTACAGATATAAAGTAGGATAACTGGAGTTTACAGATAGAAAGTAAGATAGAACTGTAGTTTACAGATAGAAAGTAGGATAACTGGAGTTTACAGATAGAAAGTAAGATAGAACTGTAGTTTACAGATAGAAAGTAGGAGAACTAAAGTTTACAGATAGAAAGTAGGAGAACTTAAGTTTACAGACAAAAAGTAAGAGTTTACAGATAGAAAGTGGAAGAACTGCGAGTTTGTAAACTTATATTTTTTGAGCAAATAATAAATAGGAACATATATATACTGCTTTTTGTTCAATTATTAGGGGCGGGGGGGCGACATTTTTTTGGGCAATTATGGGCCACCCCCTAATTTTTCAAAATAGTAAAATGATAAATAAAACGTCAATTTACTTTATCCTCCCTCCTCAGTTCTAATCTAATAAAATGTAAGAAGTGCTAATCTATTAAATAAATACATTTTATTGACTTGTCGCGCTGGACGTGCGTAATAATTTAAACTACAGAGAGAGTCCCATTTCATATTAGATTGTCTCCATGCTTGAACGCTAAATACGCTAATACTACTCAAATATAATTTAGTATTTACTACAAGTAAATTTTTATATTGGCATTATAGATTCATTCTTCTTAAATTTTGTAATTAGTCTCGAAAATCTTAATTTAGAGCCTTTAACGATTCAATTTGATGTGTTGGACATCCTGTATTTTATCTTTTATTTAACAGTTGTTTATTATTTTTATCATAATTATTCATAAAATAATTTTAAATTTCAAGTAATAAAACTTCACTATTCATTTCTCCCCACCTTAAGGTAACCGCCAAAAGAATCCTTGGAAAAAAAGTTTCCGGAAAAAAGTCCTAAAATTTCACACTAAAAAGTCCTTTTATTAAAAAGTCTCCGGAAATAAAGTCCTACCAATTCGAGACTTTCAAAAACACAGAACTTTATTTCCAGTGACATTTTTCCAGGGACTTGAGAAAATTCGGAATTTATTTTCCAAAGTTTTTATTTACAGGTTTTTTTCCCCAGAAACTTTTTTCCCGGGACTTTCTTACATAGATTCACCTAGAAGTGCCAACACAAGAGTTGATCCAAGGTTTTTTATTAAGGTTAGCAATGTCACTTTATCCTCTGTCACGTCATATGAGAATTCCATTGCTATGAAGACGACATTTTAAGTACGCATTAAAGTATTTAACGTTAATAAACAGCATTTAATTGACCAGGTATTAAATCATTTAAAAAATATGTGTCTACAAAAATCACGAACCGATTAATTTGGTGATTTGTCCATAAACATCAAAATTACTAAGAACATTATTGAGATTAGAGTATAAAAGATGCACAATAAGAAATATCAAATTTTCATCTAAAAAAAATTTGTTTGAACACCGGAGCCAAATCCAACTCAGTAGCTCGATACTTCAAATGTTGATGAATGATAAATTCCATTCAACAAAATTTGACAAATGATAATAGTGAATTGAATTTGGCTTTGGTGCTCCAACAAATTTTGTTTGATGAAAATTTGATATTTCTTAGAGTATGAGAAGAATATAAGAATGTGTTATTAAAAATGTATTATGATAATGTCCCATACCACTTATTACAAAGATTACCTGAGCAGTTGATAACTACAGTTTTCTGATGCCAAGTCAAGGCAACTGTCTAAAATAAAATCATAATTAGTCCCATTAGACGAGTTCGTGAGTTGATGAAAATGCATGAAATATTTAGGATAACATCTTAAACATTACTAAAAAGTTGCTGAAATGTCTTTTCTAAAATGAAAAGATTTTACTCTATAGGTCGTTTTCAACATTTTTGGACCAACCGAAATAGACTCAAGTTGATAAACGAAACGACTTATTAGCGGATCAGTCGTTTTCGATGCGTGATAGTTTAGATGGAAAGGTCAAAAATAACTTGTAATATTTAGAAAAAAAAGTATATAATATCATATCATTCTATTGAAAAAACTCTTCATAATTAAAAAATATTAATAACATCCTTCTAAAAAGTATGAAGATGTACAGTGGTTGGCGATTATATCAATACAATGACCATTTGATTATATTATTTTAATTATATCAAGCTGTAGAACAGGATGGACACATATAGACGTTTAAGTCAAGAAAAGCTGGCAATTAAGAAAGCTTTGCTTTAATTACTTTTTATTTGAAATTTGAAAAAAAAAAGCTTGTTATAGGGACTGTACAGGAGAAATGAAAGGGGGTATAGGCTGAAAGCTAATTACTTTAGCTCTCGATCGCGACCAATGAAAGTTATGTCTGATGTTCCTGTCTCGAGAAATTGATATACAACTTTGTCAAATTTATACGAAAATTAATATATATACAATTTTGTATTAAAGTAGTGGGTTTAAAAAGATCAAATTCAGCAAATATGCAACCAATCTGAAAACGATGATATCCCAGAGAAAGCTAATTGTAACTTAGGTTTACTCCAATTCTTATTTTATATTTTTTATTTCTATTTTTATAGATTTAATTCATAATATTATTTATACGTCCGTATTGCTTGACCAGAAATTCCACCAATGGCAGTGCAGTAAAGTGGTCACGTGATACAGGCGGGGACACGTGACCAGTATACTGCTCTGCCATTGGTGATAGTTCTGGTCACGTGATTTAAGTTGAAGATTTTCTAAATTTTACATATATGAACTTTAGTATAATTTTAACACAGTTTTTTATCAATTTCTCGAGACAGGAACATCAGATAAAACTTTCATGGGTCGCGATCAAGAGCTAAAGTGATTAGCTTTCAGCCTATACCCCCTTTCATTTTTCCTTTACAGTCCCTTTAACAATCAAATCTCAAATAAAAAAGTCGTTTTCATTGTATTGAATTGGATTGTAATTTTTTTTCCAGAAATTTCCTATTTTTCCATGAAAGGTCTCAATGTTTTGACAGAAACAACAGAATAATTGGTTTACAGCAAATTTGTTAGGATTAGCAAGGCCCGGCTGGAGACAAAAAATAATATCAAAGGTCTACAACATCGGGTTGCAAAGATTTAGGCATTGAAACATCAAAGTTTGTGAAAAGAATTCAACTCCCATTTGGTTTGTTGTTTCTATAGTGCCATGCTTTACACTCAGTTTACCTGTGTTTAATTCTGATAATTTCTATATGATTTCCTGCAGTTTAGAAAGGCAGTTTTTGTATTTTTTTTATTATTATAAAGATGGATATTGGATATCTAATCACTAATTGATGAGGCAAAGCTTTTAGGGCGAATCTTTGCATGAAGGGTCACTTGAAATTACGCTTACAGTCCCTTTTAGAAAACAAACAGTTAACAAACCCAATCTATCCTCGTAGTAAATTTGAATTCGAACAGGACCTGCCCTGTTTGTACCGGCCTGCCAGATAACAGCATGTACTGACCCGATCCTATGGTACAGTACGTCGCCCTAACCAGACTAATATACGACAGGGGTCAATTTTCTTGGCATAGTCCCGTGAGAGGGCTAACTATGACAACTCCCATGGTGCGTTCCGGCTTTTTACAGCTTAGTCCACCGTGAAGCCAATCTCTGAATTATAAGTTTAAATATCTTATTCCAAATGATTCTTTTATAAATATTTGATAGACCTTACAGGCGGAAATAATGAGGAATCAAAATATAGTTTGAAAGGAATTTCCTTTGTGAGTTTTGAAATTGGACTTTTTAATAAGATTTATTTCTTGACTTTCAGTTTACTTAAAAACTTAAAATTTAATTTTTATTTCTTACATGTTTCTGCGTAAACTTTATCAGAGCCCGTGATTGATAAAATTCGGGAAAATACGACTCAGGTCTAAGCTATAGTTGGGCCTCATTTACGGCTTGGGCTTTTGGATTTAAGTTGCATCTAATTTTTCGGATTTTCAAGGTTGGAATTGGCGCATTGGTTTTGATGAGAACAAGACTTAGCATTCAGCCTTATTCTTCACTAAAACCAACAAAAATCGGTTTTATTGTTATTGGGCCAAACTCCTTCAGAAAATTGGAATAAACTATGTTATATCATTAAACCACAGACAGACTATGTTTTAAAGGGCATTATTGTCAATCAGACAATCTATTTAAATGATATAATTTACAGTTCTGTTAAGCTTTTTTTCAATTAAGATTTAGCAATTTTAAAATTATGTTGAAATTGAATTCTAAAAATGTTGTGTTAGCTTAGCAACAAAATTTCCATCCGAAGACTCTGATCATTGCAGAACTGTAGGGAATAGTCCTGAAGGCAAAATTAAATGATAAATTAATTGTTCAAACAGTTTGAAATGTTTGAACAGTTTAATTCTCCCTTATTCTACTTTTCCCACTCAAATAGAAATAGAAATTAAACTTTTTACTTTTGAATAGATAAAATAGTCATAAACCGCCCTGCACGGCATTTACTTTTACACAAAGTTTTAAGTAGCCGTGCACCACTCCTGTATGCGAGTCCATTAGCGCCTGATCCAATCAGGGTTCAGTCATGTGTTTGATGTATATTCTGAACCAATAGAAATAGTATGGCGGTAACATCTATCTTTCTATCATTCTCATTATCCAGGGAAGGGATATTTAACATCAAAATCGGAATAAAAATTTTCTAGAAAATGATTTAAATTATTTTGAAAAGGCTCCAATTTAAAAAGAAAAATCTGAAAAATTTGAAAATTTTAGATGGCAGATTTAGAGCAGCAGTTAATTGCTGGCTAAAATTACTTAGCGGAGAGGAGGCGCAAAGTGGCCTGAATGCCTAGTTATGTATAATTTAAGAGAATTGAAATTTGTAATCAAAGTCATAGGAATGCCGGGATTCTTTTCTAACTATTCGTTCTTACTAAATAAACCTCAAATGAAAATAAACAATCATTAATGAGAAAATCATGGATAATTCACTCATTCTTGTTGAGACAAAAAATTTAGAATTTTTTTGTGAATCGGACATTCAATTCTATAAATGGAGGGTTCACTACAAAATAAGTATACAGTCCCTTTAAGAAACTGTAGTAAAATGTTTGTTTATGTAAATGTAAAAACCATCAAGAAGATATATCTTTCCAGAAGATTAAGATCTGATGAGGTTCAAGGAACAATTGGGAACATATATCACTCAACATACTTATGAAAAACTTTTAAATGGGAGGGGGGGGAAGGTTTCAGAGAGGGAGGGAGGTTTAAGAGGGGGGGAAGGTGAGGGCGAAAGTGTTGTAGTGAGTGCTTTTAGACCCATATGTAGTAAATAGTATTTACTAAATACCCTACTCCATAACTGCTCTCAGACCCGTATCTATCCAGGTACAACTCAGTTTTACTTGATAATCAATATCAAAACCCGGACACTATCAAGGGGAACTATCAATGCCAAACCAATGGGCACGATCCATAGAGAATAGAATAAATATTAGAGTGGAATTTACTATAAAAAAGTGTAAAACGGCCATTTTTTTGTACTGTTTCCATACTGCAGGTGTACTTCACATATTTATGCTATATAACCTTTTGGGCCCTGGAATATCATTTTATAGAAAATCTAAAATTATTGTTAAGGAAAACCAAATTATGAAATAGGCTGGTTTCATAATAAACCAATGATCATTTCAAATAGACTCTATGCCTTCCACTTTACAAACGATGATTTTCCGTTATAACTTTAAATCAAATGATGTTTTTTATTCACCTAATTCATTATAAAGTTTATTTAACAGTTTAAAAAATTCGAAATTGAAATGAATAGTCTAGGGAACATACTGTATTAATGTACTCTACTGCATATAATTTGTGAACATTTACATGATTTGTACACTTTGAACTCCTTTTCAGGCTGAAAGGGACTGAAAAAATTTATACCGAGAGATTCTTTAAATTCCCCTCTAATATATATTCTATTCTCTATGGCACGATCTCATCAGCTATTGATGTCATCACGGACACTAAATTGTACTCTGTCAATGCCAAACCAATGGGCACGATCTCATCAGGTATCGATGTCAACACGGACACTAAGCTTTTAAACTATTAATGCCAAACCAATGGGAATGATCTCATCAGGCATTGATGTCAACACGGACACTAGCTTGTAAACTATCAATGCCAGACCAATGGACACAATTTTATCAGCTATTGATGTCAACACGGACACCAACTTAATGTTCAAACTTCTGGATAAATCTGAGCTTCCTATTTACACATTTCTTGGCCTCACGTAGTACCAACCTGCTGATCTTGAAATTCAGGTGGGAACAAAACTTTGATATTTCCAACTACATTCATTCCTCCTCCTACATTCATTCCCTAAACATTCATTGATCATTCATTTATTCTTTAGTTATATACTGTACATTCCTCCACCTACATTCATTTCCGAAACATTCATTGATCATTGATCATTCTTTTGTTATGTGCTATAATTCATTCCTCCTCCTACATTCATTCCCTAAACATTCGTTCATCATTCATTTATTCTATAATCATATTCTGTACATTCATCTCCATACATTCATTCATCATTCATCCTCATCACCTACTTCAGTTTTGCATAAATTGTTATTCATTTATTCCCTACATATCGATGCCATCTTTCATTAGTTCATTGATATATATTATACATATATCCTTTCATTTCCTAAATATTCAATTATCATTCATTAATATAAAAAACGTTAAATATTTTTTTTAAATTGTATCCAATTTTTATTCAAGGTCTCTTCAGCTACTTCTGTAATTGTTTTAGCATGCATATATTCATTTAAAAATATATTTGAATAGAATGTTAGAAGATATCATTACAATGTTATATCTCTGGCAACCATAGCATCGGGATTTTAAAAATTCATAATTTTCAATTTAAAAAATCAAAAATTATATTTAATCATACTGTGTCCAAAATTAAAGAACGAAAAGTTTCAGCTTAAATACAGTCCGCGTGATAAATTAAATTTTAACTTAAAGCTACAGAAATAACGAGTTAAACTCCAGGAAACCTTTCAGTCTCTCATTATTTTCTTTCAATCGACAATGATTCTTTGTAAAATGATTCAGCGTTTACATATTCATAGAAACCATGATGTATAAGCCATGATGTATAAGCCATGATGTATAAGCCATGATGTATAAGCCATGATGTATAAGCCATGATGTATAAGCCATGATGTATAAGCCATGATGTATAAGCCATGATGTATAAGTCTATGATATAAATTTTGCACATTCTTCTAAACTCAGAAGGATGAAACATATAAATCTTTAAGGTTATACTGCAAGGAAAGTTATTTCAGAAGTGTACACGCACGTGTTCTGTCTCTTGGTGGTAATGTAAACACAAGACGGATGTCGAAGCCTGACATGGGATCCATCTTTCACATAAAAAAATCAATGAAATATTCTGGTCATAGGAAACTCTAATGTGAATTATTAAAATTATCAAAATTTAATGCTTTTGATACTTAACGAACACTGATGCATCTATTCTTGTTTAAAAATTTCGCCCAGAGAGAACTGGTTTCAATATGTACGCAGAGTAAACGCAACTGCAATTAGTTTTCCTCGCATTATAACCTTGTAAATCATCATCTTCGAAAACCCAATTTAATTAGTGGAAACATTCTCTGACACTATTGTTGTACATTTTATTTTTTCACCTTATTTCAGAATTTCAATTTGATTCTAAAATAATTATTTCTTACCCTACAGATATAATCACCATCGTCTTTTCTTCTAACTCTGACTATACTAACTGAACAGTACAACATCAAACAATGTTATGTACAGTAGTTTTAGAAAATAAAGTTTTTGTACGCTCGCTTTCTTAAAACGCAATATTTGTTCGCAATAAAGTGAACTGCCAAAAGAATTTCTAAATTGCGAAAGTTTTCCTTGAAATTAAAAAAAGAATGTTAAGGACTTCTGACAAATTTTGTGCACATAATTTCAATAATTTTAAGCGCTTTTGCAGTCCTTCATTATTTTTTAAACAATGTTAGGGTATCTTCTGACAATGTAATGAACGCTAAAATCTGATTAAAAAAGTTTAAATTATAAAAATCATCGTGCAACATTTTTATACGATTTCTTTTATTGTAATACAAAGATTTCAAGCTCTCACGCTAAAATCTATCAGCATATTGCCAATTTATACTCCTTTTATAAAGACTAAAAACAAGCTTCTTTTAGTTTGAAATTGTACATGTGTAACTTTAATGTCATGGCTTTAATGAAGTACAAGTGAGTTAGTGAGATAAACCAACGTCTAAAGCGTTGCGACACTTAAAAGTCAACCCAGTCCCGAAAATTGATGAAGTTCTATAGATCAGTCTGGAGCAATGTGTTTGTGTTCCTGTAGATTCCACTGTGTACTCCTGAGTGATTTCATCAAGATAAACGTCGTCTTGAATATCCAAAACTCCGGGTTCATCACGTACATCTAGAGTAAAAACTCTGAAAATTTAAAAACAATTTAAAATCGGTGCGCAATTATCAAAATTTTGGAGTATTCTTTTTGATAAAATTTATTTTTTTATTATTTAAAAGTTTGGGAGGTCCTGCAATTCACAATGGTACCCTTGCAAGAACATAAATACAAGATTCACAATGGTACCCTTGAAAGAACATAAACACCAGATTCAGAATGGTACCCTTGAAAGAACATAAATACCAGATTCACAATGGTACCCTTGTAAGAACATAAATACCAGATTCACAATGGTACCCTTGAAAGAACATAAATACCAGATTCACAATGGTACCCTTGTAAGAACATAAATACCAGATTCACAATGGTACCCTTGTAAGAACATAAATACCAGATTCACAATGGTACCCTTGTAAGAACATAAATACCAGATTAACAATGGTACCCTTGTAAGAACATGCAGCTAGGTATCGTCGTTTAAAGGGCAATGTTCTGAACAGGGCTATATAACTTTCTAATTTGAAATTACGCCGACAGCCTCTTTCATAAATATGGCTGTATATATAACTCTTTAAAGGGACCGACCGGCTATGTAAGGTAGTTAAACTGAGTATGCATGTTATGGACAAATTCTTTAGGATTCATTTGAGACATATCAATAAATTAAATATTAATTTAATAAACATCAAATATTTTAAAGTAAACACATTTTGAGGGCCATAAAAATTGTTAAGGGCCCTTAAATGTTCGTATCGATAAGTTTAAAATCTATGTAAAATTCAATTTTTTAATTCATTACTGTTTAGCTCTAAATCGATAGTAATTATCTAAAATAATTATCATGAAAGCTTTACATATTTTATAACTGTTATGAAAGGGCGTTTCCCCTGTATTCCTCTAGTATTACAAAACCCGTCTAATATTTCACTTTCTTTAAAAGCTTTTTATATTATCCAAAGTTGTAAAAATATGCAAAACTTGATTTCATCGTGTTTAGGTTTCTCCTGCAAGGAGTATGGAATATAAGGGAGATACAATTGACCTGGACCGCCCTACCATATGATTATACATGCTTTGCAGACGTGGTACTACATTTGTATAAGAAATATTCAGAATAGGTTATTGTAAACGCGGTAATTGTACATCAGACAAATATTTCATATACAAATGAAGTACCATCTGCAAAACATGAATAATCATATGGTAGGGCGGGCCGCGTCAGTTGTATCTCCCTTCTATTCCATACTCCTTAATTTCTCCCAATTAAGATGCTTGCATTCAAATCCAAATTTTTTCATCAGAGCCAGGTTAAAGAAAAGAATTAGGGTTACCCACAAAGAATGAGACTGTAAAGACGACCGGAACCTCTTAAAATGTGACGATTCCATGTGTTTTCTGCTCTAGATATTGTAATTTCATGGGTTATTCCATGATTTGGCAAAGAAACACACAATTTCACATGTGCAGAGAATTGTGAAAACACTCGTACACTCGTCTCTGAATTCTCATCCTTTGTGGGTAACCCTGTATAATGCGTATTTGTAAGTAATGACACATCCCCATTCCCCTAGTGTTCTAACAATTTCAAAGCAATTCTAGACATCAAAAGAAACGATTTGATCCTTACCGATGTTTATAAATATATGAATACTGAAAAAACACATTAAAAATTATCTATCTCTCGAGAATATATATATTCAGAGTTAGATAATTTGAATTAAGACGACATTTTTGGGGCAATAAACATTTTTGCGTTTTCTCTTCAATAACTTATTTAAAAAATAAATGCGATTTCATTTATGTAAACTAAAAATTTTAATGTTTTGTTTTAGCTTTTTATGTACATTGTGTTAAAATGGCGAAAACTTTAAGGGGAATGAACCGGAATTGCAATGCAAAATAGCAATCCGATATTTCTATAAAGACAATCTTATAAAACCGGTTATTGTTGTTTTGCTTTTATAGAATGAACTCCAGAAAAGTGTGGATTAAATGTCGTCTCTGTTCTTGCTTTATTTACAAATTCAGGGTTACCCACAAAGGATGATACTTAAAAGACGATTTTACAGAATTTGTTTAGTCCGTTTATTTGCATCCAGGGTTCCTTGTCGGCCAAAAACTGGCTTATTTTCATGCTACATTATAAAATAAACCATCAAAATACTCAATTGAATGCAGAAACCAAAAATGAAGCCTTTAATCGTCACATTTCTAGCGTTTTGGGACGTTTTTACAGTCTCTTCCTGTGTAGGTAACCTTGTATACGTTTTGTAATTGTTGCCACATTTCGTAAAATGTTCAGGACCATGTTGTTGTTGTTAAAACATGTTTGTTTACATTTAAAAACCACTTTGTTTGCGCAAAATTGGTCTGATTTTATAAGTGAAATTATAAAATATTTACCTTCTATTATTAATTCTGAAGAATTTTCTCTGAAAAAAAATATTATTTTTCTCCTAAAAAACATGAACAATATTTTTTATTTTCTACTAGTTATTACAGCTTTTGATTTCATTGAAAATTATTTTTAAAATGCAAACTCTCAAGTTTAGACAAAGTTTTGGATTTAATCAACAGTTAACAAAATCCTTCTTAGTAAACAGTTGTAATTGAAGTGTAGTTCTTATTAGTTTTCAATCAGACAAATCCACTTATTTTAAAGGGACGTAATTTAAAGGGAGTGTTCGCGAAAAATTAATCTTACTTTTTATTTCAAGAGAAAATTGTTAAAAATGACTCATTTGTATATTCGTATATATTTAATATTTCATAAGAATTTTTATTTTTTCTAAAATAATATGTCACTGGCGCTGGATTTTGAACATTCCTGAAAAATATGAAAATGTCGTCTATATTATCAAAAATCCTCAAAAGTAACTATAAGATCATAAAAATAAAAAAAATATTATGAATGCGTCGAAAAATAATGGATAACTATTGGTTGTAGTATCTGAATAATTTGTTTGAAATTAAATTAATTTTTTACGATCCGAATTGAATATTGCATCTTTCTGAATTTGTATGGACATAGCACGTTCTTCAGCATGAGTCGTTTTTAACAATTTTCTCCTGATAGACGCAACAGATAGAAGTTAGATTAGTAACGATCAAAAGCGATTATTTTTCGCCGTAAGGCTATACCCCCTTTAATTTTTCCCGAACACTCCCTTTAAAGTCAAATGAGACTCCGTTTGAAAATAACATGAGTGCATTCTATACGTCAGGGTGTATTTCACACGTAGGATTATTGCAAGCTGTTTTAGGAGATAAACATTTCATTCAAAAATCTGATTTGAGCATAAATAATCTGAATTCTAGAAAGTTTTTAAAAAATCTTTTAGGTACTTATNGATAGCCGGACGTTTCACCTTCTTCTCTTGGCGGCAAATTACTGAAACTGCAGTCAGGGATGCTTTTTTAATACAACATAATTTGTTCAATATTAATGTTGATACGAGATGAACTTAAAATCATATTAATGAATAACACTAATGTTTTAAAAAATTTATTATTTATTATTTGTAAAAGATAATTTGAATTGGATACATCAAAAAAATTTAAAATTAGTTTAAATCGTATATTTCTTTCAAGAACTCTTGTCGATTGAGCTGGCTTCTGATCAGTACAGGTCTTTTATTTGAGCTCTTTGAAAAGTTGTTTAGCCAAAGTGTCTTCTCTTCTAAGACCTAAAAACCATCGTTGGTTGTTTATGGTGGTTTCATTATTCAAAATTGCATCACAGACATTACAAATTTCTAAAGGAAGCCTCGGGGGTTTTCTGAAGCTTTTGGTTCCCTTTCCAATGTAAGTGTTCTCAAAATAATTCTTGGAGTACTGGAAAAAAATCTCCATTCAAGAGAATATTTTTCCGCATTTTCCGAAAACAAAACAGCCAGGTTCCTTCATGACAATTATTGACAGACTGGATATGTGTAAAATTGTTGTTTACATAAACCACTGTACCCTGTACATGTGTTTAATGTATACAGTACATATCCAATTTAAATTGTTTTTTTTTTTTTTTAAAAGTTCATATGGAACTCTTTAATTTGTCACTTAAAGTTTCGTGGAAAGACCCTTTCGATCGGTAGAATTGGAATTTTTTTTTAATATGCAAGTCTCGGAAATCCCTATCCAAACATAAATGTGTTAGTTTCAGCAAGCTACCAGAACTGTAAAATCAAGCATTTGCCGCCAAGCCAAGAAGGTGAAACGTCAGGCTATCAATACCTGGGCACTGGTTTAGACCACGTGATTTTGGGTATAGGCTCTCCTGTAGCAATACACTTTAGTTTAGCGTGCTCCTAAGATATCATTTTTATAGTGAGACTCATCAGTCTGAGAAAAAGTGCATGCAATGCATCCTTATTATGTTGTTTTAAAGCTGCAATAGTTTTTTTAGATAACTTAAAAATCAATTTAAGGTAATGAGTCTGCGTAAGTATGTTTCATGTTATATTCATAACAATTGAGTCTAATAAATTCTGCCTATTCCATAGTTTTATTGGTAGCCCTGTAAAAAATTAAGTCTAAAAAATAAAAAATATAGATACATTGGATGAGGCCTTTTAAATCGTTTGTAATCTAACAATTTGATTTTAATCCCTACGTTAAGACCTTACCATCCCTTCTGACTAAGTGATCATTTTAAAACATGTAAAAAAGCAATTGCTTAAATTAAGAGACCTTAGAAACTGTCAAATCCTGGGAAAATTACACACATAAATAATAAAAAACACAATTTTACAGGACGGGAAATTTTCTTTTAAAATTATTAGATTGATATTTTTAAAACTTTTCTTCAATCCCGTCGTTCTATGGATTGCTACAAGAAGAACTGCAGTCCTAATTACAAGGAATCCCGTCGTTCTATGGATTGCTACAAGAAGAACTGCAGTCATAACATCAAGGGATCCCGTCGTTCTATGGATTGCTACAAGAAGAACTGCAGTCCTAACATCAAGGGATCCCGTCGTTCTATGGATTGTTACAAGAAGAACTGCAGTCCTAACTACAAGCGATCCCGTCGTTCTATGGATTGCTACAAGAAGAACTGCAGTCCTAACTACAAGGGATCCCGTCGTTCTATGGATTGCTACAAAAAGAACTGCAGTCCTAACTACAAGGGATCCCGTCGTTCTATGGATTGCTACAAGAAGAACTGCAGTCGTAACATCAAGGGATGATAAATTCAGATAATTTTCTTCATTTTTAAGTCAAAGAAATGCGCATCAAACTTTGAAAAGAACCCAAAATTGAAAATAATAAATTTTTAAAAAGAATATAATGGATATCCTATTCTAGACAAAGGTTTGAAGAGTATTCTTAGTAAATCTGGGTAGCCATTATTAAAATAGATAGTCTCATGAAATCGCTGCTGCTGCCACTTAAAAAAATATGATTCCTGCCATTGATATTTCAAACTTTTTTGATCTCGCAGATTTCATAGTTTGAAATATCATAGGTCTACGGCAATGTGTTTTTTTTGCATAAGGATAATATTTAATTAATCTGAAAATGTAAAAATGGCATCTTTTTTTGTAAAAGTTGCGACATTTGAGAAAAAGCTAATGCATAAGTAAAGGATTGACAAATGTCACACAATCGACTGAAAGACCATGACTATTCGACATAACTACAGGAGGGTTTTTATTTTCTCAGATTGATTTCGTGCATAGTTTTAACATTTATTTATTCATAGTTATTATGTAGTTCAGGCTTTCTTCCCTCAATTAAAAAAGTTTTAAAAGTTTTGCTTTCTTAGCAATAGTTAAGACAGGTTATTTAATGTAAATTGAGTACAAGCCTGGCACAAATGTAAAGTTAAGTACACGCCCGACACAAATATAAAGTTTAGTACAAGCCCGACACAAATATAAAGTTAAGTACACGCCCGACACAAATGTAAAATTAAGTACACGCCCGACACAAATATAAAGTTAAGTACACGCCCGACACAAATATAAAGTTAAGTACATGCCCGACAAAAATATAAAGTTAAGTACACGCCAGACACAAATATAAAGTTAAGTACAAGCCCGACACACAGGTAAATTTAATTAGGATGGCGCACGTCACCAATTCTTATTTAATAAAATCAGATAAATTTAGAAAACAAATTACTATTGAAAAGTCGGGTACCCGTCTCAATCTTTGTGTACTATAGAGAAATAGTAGGGGTTTGTGGAGATTGGTCTCTACTACTAGCTGCGTAGAGTTTGCATTGCTAAGAAAGTCATACTATATATATATATATATATTCTGCGCCTAGCTCTGTGCATTATGTAAAAATATTCTTTCCTTAAAAGTGCCAGTGAAAGCCCCTTGAAGTGCCACTGCATGCTCGGT